TCATCAGAAGAACTTCATATCAAGTGGAATCCAAATTGCCTGAATAGGAATGATGGACTAAAACAGAATCTGACCTGGTTACAACACCTCCCTCCCCCCCATCAAGTGACAAAACCAACACGGATACGATAAGCGATTTCATTATGTAAAAACACGCTACTTTTACAATTTTATACACTTATCAAATCCAACAATCTACACCTGGTTTTGTTATCTTTACTAATTCACCAATATGACAACACATAAATGACCTCATGCTGATGAACGATGATTAAGTTGCTATAAATAAGCTGAGATTTTGTAAATTCCGGTTTAATATTACCACTGTGATAAAGCTATTAGCATTAAACAGCGAAACGCCAGTAAACACAACAATATCGTTTTGTTTTTCATTCATTTGGAAAAACAGAATACCTTTATTATAAGGCATAACTGTATAACTTCATTAAGTAGATTTTGGAGCTGTGTACTCAGCAAACAGGCATCTAGTGGTTAATAGTAGAGAATTACACGCAATACTCTATCTCACTGCCTCTGTCTTGTTCCAGGAATAGTAAGATCTTCACATCCAGAAGCTAAACTCTCTATCCAGTCATTTACACAGACACTAGACAGTGAAATTGGACGCGTAACACTCAGGTTATTAATATAATAATAGTAATAGTAATGACGACATGCATGTCAAACATGCGCAAGATAATCACAACACCAACAACAAGGAATTTAAGTCATCAGTAATAATTCCATACAAGGAAGGAGCCTCGGAAACCACCTTATGGAGAATTCCTAACAAGACAGGAATAAAAGTGGATGGCATTCAAACCTTCCACAAACTCAATTAGAAACAAGCTTTGTCGGTTGAAGGATCAATCCTGTGGAGCTTTTAAAACAAAACAATTTAGTTGATCTAATACCCTACTTGAACGATTGTCAGGTCGAGTACATAGGTCAAAGTAGTAGAGCAGGTGCAGTCAGACTAGCTGAGCATTAAAACCTGGCAGCAAAATCTAGATCAGTTGACCCGAATAAGATAAGAAACCTGGAGAATAGTTCAGCTATAGCACTCACTACATGCAGTTACACACAACCATACACTGGGATGAGATAAGATGACAGTTTTAAAATCTAATGTAACAGCAGGATGGAGGGAGAGATTGATAACAGAAGCTTTATTTATCGAACCAACTGCAAACACGTGTAATGGGAATGATTCAACACCTGTCCACTTGGATATGTGAAAACTTCTACAACCCCAAAGACGACAAATAGGAGAGAGCAAAGAAAACTATAAAACTCAAGTTTCGAAGTCGTGTGATTATAATTGATATGATTATGAACCTCAGTAAACTGTGTTCGAAACCTTGTCACCCAGTAAATAATACCGTTTCACTGTGTAGTGATATATCTAATAAACAAACTAATATGGAACCGAATGTCAAGATAGTCAGTAGTTCACAGACTTAACTAGTCACGGAAAGCAGTTCCAACAGCTGTTCCTTTCTTTCCTCACTGAAACTCAGCTAGCCAGTCTGGAAATAATAAACGACAAAGAACTCTACCAGACAACAAATCAACCAAGAAACTATCCAATCATCCTACAATTATGCAGAAAAAAGTAGAAATCCACCAATCATACACTAAAGAAATGACTGAGTGATATGACGCTCCAGACCTTCATATGGAATTCGAATAGGGAAAAGATGAAATGGACATGAATCCAAGTGTTTAACTTCGAGGCGATCATATGGTCAAACAATGACAATATGATTCTGAAGGCTTATGTTCCACTCGGAATTCAAGGGGATAATAATAATAATAAAAACATTGGTTGGTGGTCACACAAAAAACACCAATCGGTAGAAGTTACAATTCATGGGTTAGCCATTGAATCGGGTCCTGGTGGCGGAATGGTAATCGGAAGGTCCCGGGTTCGAACCCTGGCAGTGAATGCATACTGCCGATGATTCCTAAACTAGGATGAAACAGTTGTTCCTGGTTTTCAACGGTTCTCTAACTGATATCAATCTGCGGGCAAACTCGAAACACAAAACCCCCAATCTCGATAAAGAAAGGAAGACGAAATTCGCATTATAAAATGATATCATCCTATTTCACAGGTTCTCATCAGCTGCAGACTACCTGAAATTACAATGGTTATATAAATGATAATAACATACTTTAATGTTTGAGTAGTAATAGAGAACAGATAAAATTGACGCATCCAAAAAAGAATGAAAGCATTACAATTTTTAGTTGAAGTAATCATCATCAATTTATACACTTTCAGAGTTGAAAAGAGGGGGGAGGGGTAAGACAGAAAACAGAAAAATTGATTAACAGAAACAGTGTTAGCTTGTAGGTTCACATGGCAACTCCAAAAAACAAAAGCATTTACAGTTTATAAGATTGAGATTTGCTCAGTGAGTTGAGATCACTGAATTAGATGACCAGGCAGGTTTTAGGCCAGGTAGAGGGTGTATTGATCACATCTTCACCCTTCGACAGATTCTAGAACATAGGCATTCCTACCGGCGTCCGACAATCATTATATTTCTTGACCTAAAGGCGGCATTCGATTCTGTCGACCGGGAGGTTCTCTGGCGATGCTTGGCTGTAAAGGGAATGCCAAGAAAATACATTGCACTGATTAAGGCACTCTACTCGTACTCATCCAGCCAGGTGAGGGCTTATGGCGAGTTGTCATCTGAAGTGGTGACGACTAGTGGCGTCCGTCAAGGATGCCCATTATCCCCTTTCCTATTCAATTTCATCATAGATGTACTAATGGACTTAACCCTAACTCACTTCAGCGACTCAGGGATTGACTTGCTACCAGGGAAGAATCTCGTTGACTTAGAATATGCGGACGATATAGTCCCTCTAGGCGAGGACTCTGACAAAATGCAGAGTCTATTGAACACCCTGAGCAACAATGTAAGATGATGCTGCAGGATTGGACTTCATCGACCCCTAGATTAGAAATAGGAAGCGAAGTGGTAGAACACGTTGACCGCTTCACTTACTTGGGAAGTACCATCAGCCCCAACGGGTTGATCTCCGACGAAATTTCAGCACGAATACAGAGGGCTAGGTTCGCATTCGCCAGTTTTCGCCGTCTCTGGCGTAGACGTGATATCCGACTATCAACCAAAGAGCGTGTGTACTGCTCAACAGTCCGCTCCGTCCTCCTTTATGGCTGTGAGACCTGGCCATTGAGAGCAGAAGACATGAAAAGATTAGCTGTCTTCGATCATAGGTGTTTGCGTTCTGTCTCCCGCGTGAAGTGGTATAATAAGGTGAGCAATATTGAGGTTAGGCGTCGATTGCTAGGTAAGGCGGGGAAATCAATCGACGAGACTGTGAAATTACTTCGACTGAGATGGTTAGGACATGTGCTACGTATGCCTAGTCATCGCCTTCCTCGACGGGCAATGTTAGCTGATATAGGGTCAGGCTGGAAAAGAGCTAGCGGTGATCAAACGAAAACATGGCACCAATCAATGAAATCCACAACAGTTAATCTAAGCCACGTAGGAAGATGTAGACTTCCTGGTTGGGGCCCTCGGGATGGTAAAAACCAATGGTTGGAAACAATTGGTGACATGGCTCAAAATCGTTCTCAGTGGCGCAGATGCATCCACTCCTTGTGACTTATGATTTCCAATTAAACTGTTTTGTTCTCCGTTATTACTATTCCTTTGTCTCACACCTCTGTTTACTGTTTCCATTATGCATTTCTTCTACTTCCTTCTCTTGCTTTGCGTGCTACATAGATTGTGGCGACTTGAACTGCCGCACATATGTGCAAAGTTCTATGTCGAAAACCGACCGACCGACCGACCGAATTAGATGACTAATTGATGTAATTAAAATCGAAATTCAGTTACCAAGGGAGTGAGAGGTTAATCACACTCTATCTTTCTGTATGCATTAGTCTGGTTTGAATCGTTTGATTGCGATCGCTTCGGTAATTGCTCTGGTAATTGCACTCTGAGAATGTTTGCTTCCTTTCAGGCACAGGTTTCTTGGAATATGTTGTTCAGAAAACCCGATGCGTCAATTTTATCTCTTCTCTACTACTACTCAAACATTAAAGTATGTTATTATCACCTATATAACCATTGTAATTTCAGGTAGTCTGCAGCTGATGAGAACCTGTGAAATAGAATGTTATCATTTTATACTGCAAATTTCGTCTTTCTTTCTTTATCGAAACCCCCAATCCTTATAAATCAACTCTTGAAAAACAAGAATAGTAACAACAATACTGACAATAAGTTTTTATTTTCTAATTATTTATTCATTTTTTTCTTCATTGAATTTAATATATATACGTAATGCATGCATATATATACACTTGTGACTGACTATACACGTAAACTGATTTCAAGGGAGTGGAGTGAAGGTGTCTAACAGGCTAACTGAAGTCTAAAAATAACAAGCAAACAAGCCAAACAGACAAATAGAAGAGAAATGATGACAAGATGAAAAACAAAAATGCTTATTTACATGCACATACTGCTGTGTGTAGTACAGTAGTTTTGTTCGTTTGTAGGTATATAACTATGTGCTGTGTGTGTGCATGTGTGATTGTGTGCATGCATACGGGGGTGTGTAGTATGAGAAGTATGAAAGAAGGTGAACGGATCAGCATAATACACACATACGCACAGAGATTGATCTATCTGTTGTAAACAACAGTGATGATCATAATAATGTTTCACAAAATAGAAGAAATAAGGAATGAAAAATACTCACATAGGAAAAATGGAAACAGAAGAAGAGATGTGGAAGACAAGATCTTCACACACTGGGGAATATCATCAGTCATCGTCTGAAGATTCATAGTGTGCCGATAGACAGATAGATGGATGCATAGACAGGCAGATACAGAGGAGAAGGAGGGGCTGGAGGAAAACACGAAATATAAAATGATAGAATAAAAAGGAGGCGGTGGAAGAGAGAACTCTCACACACGCACACACACACACACACACAGTGATTACTAACCATCTCTACAAAAAAAGCAGTTTCGATACAACGATAGCAGCAACAACAACAACAAAGGAAGAAGGTGGTTTTGATTCGATAAGCAAAAGATATACATATATAACTAGAATCAGCATCTGGTAGGAAGATGAAGAGGGAGAAATGGTGTGATGGAGGGACAGAGCAAGTTAAAAAATAAACCTTTGGTATTATCTTTATTGATTTAAACAAAATTTGTACTAATCTGTTGTAATCAAGATTTGATAGCGTGTTATTACAATAACAATAATAATAAAATTAGAAAATGACTTTTTTTTTGCTTCAGCTATAAAAAATGGTTACATCAGTTTTTGTTTGAGTAGTAGTAAGTTGACACATTCAGAGGATAAAAAAGCCCTCGCCTACACAGATTTTGTCAACCTAAAAAAGGAAAAGGAAAAGAAAAACAGTAAAATAAACAATACTTGGAAATTATTCCACTATTCATCATTGATTGACTATGGAATGAAATTTCTGGAGTTTTTTAGTGAGAAGGCGTGATCGGTGGGGTCGTGTCATGTCTGTGAACTAGTCATTGTTAGCATTGGATTTATCGTGAATTCAGGATTGATCACGATGTGACTTCAGTTAACGAACCATTGATGTTTCGTCCTTTTTTGGGACTCTTCATCCAGTATGCACTCTGTGGTCCTACTAGGAATCGAACCCAGAGGCTGAATGGTTAACAAATCCGTCTTGTAATATGAAGGTCCCTCCTGATTCCGACTCCTTCTTCAGTCACAGATGCGTACTACTGAACAATGCTAAACAAGGATGAAACAGTAATCCAGTGGTTTCCAATTTGTTCTTTAATTGATCAACTATGAAATCAAGCATAGCTCTACAAACCAACATATGAATATGATGAATTAACAGAAGTTAAAATTCACTGATTATCACTGACTGAATGGTCGATGGGGAGGCTTCATAAGGTGAAGCATCTGGGTTCAATCCCTCAAGAAGTCATGAGTGAACATTGCTGAGGGGACCTGAATGAGGGATTAACATCTATCTAGTCTTTCCAGTAATCCTTGGTTTCGATTGCTTCATTTTCTTTAATGTATAACTAATCATAAACTGACTTTACTTAAAGGATCATTACAAATAACGGAATACTAATCAAAATCTCATTTGTACACCACTGATGAGTCCGAACTTGGAGTGAAACAAGTAATCTAGCCATCCACTATTCTCTGCTTTTCATTCATACCCTAGATAATATTGCTTTATCACAAAATCTGATTTGAAATCAATCGTATCCCCATTTTTTAGACACATTTCTTATTATTATTAACTCATATCAGCGACTACCATCAACGTGATCCGGAGTTCGACTCCCGTCCGGTGCACTCCTCAGTCTCTCCTAGCCATTTGGATGTAAGCCCAGTACACAGGAAAGGTTGGGTATGAGGCTAGCAAGCCTACCGTGTAAGAACGAAACAACTGCAACTAAAACCTGACAGCTCAAGCTTAAAGCGACTAATTCAGGCATTCATATAACACATACTGTTTGTGTGACTAAAAGTTGGGTAGGTGGTAGAACATAGATCATATCGATAGCACACCTTTTTGAATAGTCAACAGCAGAAGAACCTGATTCATTAGGATATTTAGGCTTCCCACTCCAACCAGCGGAAAATATTGACAGTTTCATAGAACCCACTACTGTTGAATGACAAAATCGAAGTGAAAACGGGAAAAGACAGCTGTTTAGTTACACTACCGAATAGTTAGTATACACCCACTCATAAAATTCATTTCTACCTAGATTTCAGTTACTCTGTACTTGGTTATAATTTATTATTATTATTCCCTTGGGTTCCGAGTGGAAAATAGGGCTTCAACAACACATCTCCACTTTCTTCTACTTTCTGCTGTCCTCTTCAGATTGGTCCACAATTGCCCTTGATCACTCACATGATCTCCTCCATGTCACCCTCGCACCAACGACCCACTCGTCACTTCCCATTTGGATTCCACTCGAGGAGTGGCCTACATATGAGCACCATATCATTCAACGGACTCCTAAACATATGTCCAATCCATCTCCATTTTCCTTTACATATTTGTTAAGCAGTCAGCTCCTGGGTGGTTTGTCACTAGAGTTACTTACTGCTAACTGGCTTATGATTCACACCTGTTATGTGAGGCCTGATAATACTGTCTACTTGCCCAGGAACCACTGACTGGAATCCTAGTACTTAAGCTGCTGAGACATTTCTAGAAATGCCACTTTCCAGCCCATTTAAAGAAGACTTTTTCGCTCGGTTTTGTCCTTTAGAACATTTGTGTGCTTTGAACGACGTCAATAATAATCTCACGGAACACTGGGCATTGTTCCTTTAATTAGCTACTTTATGAATGAACGCCTGCATAAGCCATCGATACCAAATGTGTTTAAGTTATTTCACATTTCCCGTGAATTGATTTTTATTGAACCATAATGCTTGATCTCTGTTGACATGTTGGATCCTAATATGAACTCTTAGAGGAGAGGAGTCTGAAGATCAAAGATCAGTGCTATTTGATTGATCGTAACTAGAAGTACAATTGACGATATGCATTTGTTCCTGTATGGAACCTGTCATTTGAATGTATTTGCATTCCTAATTAGTGATGGCGTTTTTCCTGCTGCCAACTTAGACTCAGAATACACCGTTTCAAACATCAGTGGCCTATTGGACAACGCCTTTGACAGGAATCAGCTCAACATAGTAATCATCTTATGATTCACCGTGTTATCGAATGACTGTAAAATTTCATCATCTCTTTCTCACCTTGTTTTTGGTCAAATCGCCGACAAATCAAAATATTTTTATTTTTCGCTGACCCAGCCGAATTGCCTAACAATCAGAACAGTCTATTTCCAGCGAGGAAACAGGCATAAAATGGACTCACACAAAAAACTTCGAGGATCTGGACTTCACCGATGATATATGTCTGATTTCACACAAACTGGAAGATAAGCAAGCGAAAAGCCACAAGTTGTGAGAAGAAGCATCCAGAGAAGATAGGACTTCAGGTGAACATAGAGAAAACAGAGGTGATGAAGATTCCTTGGCAACACCACCAACAGCCACGGCAACAACAACAGACAACAATCAGCATAAATGGCAGAAATCTGAAAGAAGCAACCTGCTTCACCTACCCACCTACCTGAGAAGCATCGTTTCAACTACAGGTGGACAGAACTGATGAGGATGTCAAAGCAAGGATCGGGAAAGCAAAGCAAGCTTTCAGTACTCTCAAGTCTGTGTGGAAGTCAACAGCACTCAGCACGAAAAATAAGATCCGGATTTTCAAACCCAATGTGAAGTCAGTGCCACTTACTATACGGATCAGAAACTTGGCGCGTCACGAAGGGCACCTCAAACAGACTACAGACTTTCATCAACAGCTGTCTTCACTCAATACCACTCAAGATCAGCAACAGGGAGGGATCTCTAGCAATGAACGAACCAACCCAGCAGGAACCAATTTTGCAGCAAATAAGCAGGAAGAATTGGAGGTGGACTGGCCATACCCTGAGAAAACCATCAAGTGACATAACATGCCACGCCATCGCTCGAATGGAACCCGAATAGGAAGCGGAGAGTTGGTCACCAGTGCGAGAGTGACTTGGAAGAGGTCATGTGACGAGGAGATGAAAGCATGTGGGCAGACGTGGAGCCAGGTGATGAGAACGTTGGCAGAGAACTGAATACAATGGAGACGTGCGGCTGAGGCCCTATGTTCCTCTAGGAGCTAAAGGAAACAATAATAATAATGTAACAATAATATAAGTAAATACATTTGCTTACTTACATAACTGACTCTTTTTTAAACAATTATATTTTTGAACTCTGTGGTGTAGGTATATCATTGTCAGTTTTGGTCACAACAACTGGTACAGTTTCATCAATTGCATTGGCGGATAACTCATTTGATGACGACGATGTTGAGATGATAGCATTTGTATTCATGACATGTGATGATATCTCAGATATATTGCCCATACTACTACTATGTATTAAATTTTCAGAAACTTCTAATTCTTTTCTTTTACGAGCATTTATTCTAGCCCATATTGTTGCACTGAGAACTGTTAAAAAACCCAGAAATTGCATTCCACCAAGAAATAGAAAAGCTGGTCGATAGTCTTGAGTATAATCTTTAATTAAACCTGTAGAGAAATAAAGAACAAACACCGTAAGTGAGTAACTGGCATGAGCAGATAAAGAAAGGCAATACCAACACGGTTGCTATGATCTCTGTAGATTATGAAAAGAAAGCTACTGAACACTTCGATATATATCGGACCCTATGAAAAAGTCAACATGACAAAGTCAAGGGCGATATCGAATAAATTGAAGGTTGTGAAACAAGCAAAAGGTTGTGGTAAATAAAAGAGAAACTCGGTGTATCACTCTGGTTTACTCTGGCTCCAAAAAAAGTTGCAGTCTCTGTAGATTTTATGGATTACAAAAAATACATAAACCAGATGTTCCATTGCATCTAGCTGTGGATTTTACTAATTCTCTAGCCTAAAAGCTCTACAAATACATTTATCGAATACTATTATTATTATTGTTCCCTTGGGTTCCTAGTGGAACATAGGGCTTCAACTGCACGCCTCAACTTGCTTCTGCTGTACTTTTCACCTGCATCCATGTTGGTCCATACTGTTTCAGCTCCTCATCACACGATCTCCTCCATGTAACCCTTGCACCGACGAACCACTCGCCGCTTCCCTTTCGGGTTCCACTCGAGCGATGGCCTGACGCACGATGTCACCCAGCGGCCTCCTCAGCGAGTATCCAATCCATCTCCACTTTCTCCTGCATATCTGTTGAGCGATTGGTTCTTGTTTCGTTTGTTCCCATAGCTTCTTGTTGGTGATTCTTTCTGGCCATCTGATCTTCAGTATAGAGAGAAGACAGCTGTTGATAAAGGTCTGCAACAGGCTGTTGGAAATATTCTTTGTGACCCGCCGTCAAGTTTCTGATCCGTATAGAAGAACTGACTGACTTGACGTTTGTATTGAAAATCCGAATTTTGTTGTTGATGATGAGTGACGAAGATTTCCAGATTGGTCTCACGTTGATGAATGTGTTTCTCGCCTTCCCGATTCTCGATTTGACATCCTCATCCGTTCCTCCTGTAGTTGAGACAATGCTCCCTAGATAAGTGAATGAAGTAACCTCTTTCAAATCCCTCCGGTTGATGGTGATTGGCGCTGGATGTTGCTGCTGTTGGTTGGTTATTTTCACAACCTCTGTCTTGTCTATGTTCACCTGGAGTCCTGTCTTTGCTGCTTCTTCGATCAGTTTGTCGGTTTTCGCTTGTAAGTCTTCGATTTTTGTGACATCAAACATAAGTCATCCACGGGCGAAATCCAGGTCTTCTAGGTTCTTCATGTCGGTCCAGGATATCCCTGTCTTCTCATTTCCCACTGTCTGACGCATAATCCAGTCCACTACAATTAGGAATATCATTGGTGATAATAAGCACCCCTGTCTGACTCCATATGAAATGAAAGTGGAAGATTCAGTGAAGAATTTGTATGAACTTAAGAGAAAAATCAACACGACTTATATTGAAGAAGATGAAGTAATAGCAAGTTTCGATGTTTATTCATTATTCACGAATGTTCCCACCAAGGATTCTTTGAGTATAATGTACTTCGTTATGACCACGAACTCAGTGTTTGTTGTCCTTTAAATGCAGATGAAATTATGAAGGTATTGGGATAGTGTTTACACTCCACGTTATTTAAATTAAGATGGGGGCGAAGTTCAACAATAGCGTCCCAGGAGTGTGTACGCTCCAGTCACCTTGAACGCATGCTAGTCGTTGGCTAACGGCATCTGTCATTATCATAGCTGAAATATCAACGCTATTCCCCAGCTAAGGGGCAAATTTCACCCAGATCACGTTTTTAAGTACTGTTTGGACGATGTGTTAATAGCTTGTTAAGTTTAGGATTAGGGTTAACATCAGGGTTATAATTACGGTTTCAATAAGGTTTATGATTAGGTTTAGGATTAAGGTTAGGTTTAGTTTTACGGTCAGGATTAAGCTTATGGTTACGATTAGGGATAGATTTAGAGTTGGTGTCATTTATTTTAATTTTTTTATTATCCACGTTTTCCTGGTTAGTAGTCGTCTATCCTCTTGCTGAAAACCATAATAATTCAACCGAGGGCTTTTTTGGAAGACTGCAAGCAGGATGACAGAGATTCACAAAAACAGTTCATCTCTAGTCATCTCGGTGAATACATGTACAGAAACTAGTCTATCTTAGCAACTGATACTCCTCGTTACAACTAGGACGTATTTTTAAGCCATGTCAGAGAAAGATAACCTGTTTAATGCGTTTTCAAGCATTTTCTTGAGCAAACATTCCTCATTTTTATGATTGGTTAGCTGAAGGTCACTCGTGCGTTTGCACTCCTGGGACGCTATTGTTGAACTTCGCCTAGATGGGTTCTTTATTTTCAAACAGAAGCTATTGCAGTGAGATTACCAGTATCTCATTTAGTAGTTAATCTGTTTATGCACTTACTAGAAACAAATACAATTATGAAATGCCCTAATCTTCTAAAAACATGGTTAAGATATGTGGATGATAACTTCGTCACAATTAAACTCAGTATGTTGTATGATCTTTTTTTCATTTAATAAACAATATTTCAGAGACCACTAAGTTTTCAAAAGAGGTTGAATCTGATGAAAGTGATTTTGCTTTCTTGGACTGTTTGGTAAAAGCACAGCCAGATAGTAAACGTGAGATAAATACTTTCAGAAAGCCTACATACTCTGACAGATGCCTAGATTACAATTCAGCGAACCCCTTTACCACAAAATTAACTGCGGCTAAGAATCTGATTAACAGAGTCAAACATCTAGTTACTGAGGTGAAGGAAATCTACAGGAAACTAAGATTACTTCAGTCCACTCTTGAATCAAATAATTACACGAAAGCCTTTAAAAAAAGATATTTAAAAAGTGAAGATAAGGTAGAATCGAAACCCGTTGCTAAGACTCGGATTGGTACAGTGGTGATTCCCCATCACAGAGAAAAATCGGATGAGATAAAGCGTATCCTTAACAACCATAACAACATAAGAGTGTATTTTCGGGAACGGACACCTTACACTCACCACTGGTGAAGGTGGCTGTGGCTTACACAGCGAAACGTTCAGAAAAATCTTGTTTTGATTTTCTTAACACGCTGGGATTAATTTAAATAATTTATAATGAATCAATCTGACTCGGCGCTCAAATTATTCCAGGAAGTTCGTAACACCTACGGCCTGGAAACCTATAGAGTGGTATTTGTAAGTCTGAGGTCAAATTTTTATCACAGTTCATGCAGTTTTGTTTATGGTATTTTGATGTCTAAATATAAAAACACAGTTTTTTTGTTCACCGAAGAAATTTCTTTTCAACGACTTCATTTTAAAGCTGTACAATCGTATTTATATTACAGAAAAAGTTATTAAGTGGCACTAAATAATCGCTCAGTCAATATACATATATTTATGTGATAAGAATAACGATAATTAAAATGTTATAAGGTGTAGAGTTGAAATGGATATATATATATATATATAACTCATATGATTGGACAAAGTTTTCAAAGACAAGATGGGTCCTTTTATACATACACCTTTTTTATAGTTTGGTTTGTAAGGGTTAGTTTTCTTACGAGTTGATCATGGATTGATATCAGTTAGAGAACCATTGAAAACCAGAGAGTACAGCTGTTTCATCCTAGTTTGGCAATCATCGGCAGTCCACACCCACTGCCAGAGTTAGAACCCAGGACCTTCCGGCTACAAGACAAGCTAGCTCGTATACCATTCAGCCACTGGGACTCGATCTTATGGCTCAAGAATTGGTAGAAGTTAAAATTTTGACTAATTTTTCTGTAGAACTTCGGACAAGTTTGCCGAACGAAACGTTAGAATTACTTAGTTCAATTTCACTGAGATTTTCCAAATATTATTTTTTTTGCATATGTCTACTTCTCATTTGGGGCCCAATTATTTTGGAACTATTCAACCAAATCTTGATCACAATTCATATGAAGGAAAGAATATGTTAAGGAAGGATCCTTGTCAATGACTTCCTTCCCAGACAATTAAGGTTATAAATCTGGTAATATTGTTGTAGAGTAACAAGTGATACGCATAGATAACATTTCTAACACTGACTGAATTATCTTGAAGGCAAGAAGGAATATATATTCACAGGATAAAAGCGAGGCCATTTCTTCTACTTCATGGTTTTACTTCATATGCGAGCAGCCTAAAACTATCATAAGTTATTATAAATGCAAATGCGTAACATAAATCTAAGTTGAATTGACTCCAAGGGCATTTTATAACACAGTAGTAGAACAAGAGGTAATGTAAAAGTAGAATTTGGGCATTGTTGTAGAATATAATTCCATATTATTATTATTGTTCCCCTGGGTTCTGAATAAGATGTTGGGTTTCAACAGAACCTCTCCACTTCGCCCCCTTCTGTGCGGTTCTCTGTGAATGACCCAATACAGTTGCCCATGGTCTCTCATCTACTCCTCTCACGATCTCTACCATGTCACTCACACACCCACGCTCAACTCATCGTTTCCCATTCGGGTTCCACTCGACCAATAGCCGGTGTGATTTCATTCGACGGCGTCCTGTGCTCGCGCTAAATCCATTCCCAATTCCTTCGACATACTTATTGAGGAATAGGTTCTCACCCGTTGGTTTGTTCTCAGAGTTACTTATTCCTAATTGTTTTTTGCCATTTAATCTTCAATATCGAGCCAGCGAAGGCAGCTGTTGGAAATGCTTTCTGTGACACAGACGCCAAGTTTCTGACCGAAATATAAGAACTGGCTGATTCAACATTGACGCTGAAAATCCGAATCCTCTTCTTTGTGCTGAGTGAAGGAGATTTCCAAACTAATTTCAGAGTGATGAATGCCTGTCTTACCTTCCCGACTGTGGCTAGTTTTGACATCCTCATCCAACCCACCTGTAGTTGAAATGAGGCTTTCCACATAACTGAAGTAAGTAACCTCTTCCAAATGTATTCCGCTGATACTGAATGGCACTTATTATTGTTAGTTGGTTACCTTTACCACTTCCGTCTTCTCTATCCTCACTCGAAGTCCTGTCTTTGCCG